TCAATCACTACATTAGTAGATGAAAAGAAAAACCATCATCTCAAATGGGCACCAAAAAATTCAATAAAGTTAAACAATCATCCATGACTCTAAAACTGAGTTAAAGGAGATTTCCTTCATTTAGAAAAGTTCTGAGGGGTTGGAGAGATGGCTCAGCAGTTAAGCATGTGTACTGCTCTTGTAAGGGACCTGAGTTCGATTCCTGGTGCCCATGTTAGGCAGTTCACAGCCACCTGTAACTCCAGCTCCATCCAGGACATCTGATACCCTCTTCTAGAATCAGAAATAAATGCTTATCATGACAGTGTATTTGTCTGACTGGGTCCGGAACAAGGCATCTGAATACATACATAGCTTAAAGGTAGTTATGCCATAAAGGAACCATACTCTATATGCAGAACCCCAGTGCCAGGCAAGAGATGTCTCTAGTTGTTAGTTAGGGTAGGGCCCAGGATACCCCCCTGCCAGTAAAAGAAACCATAGGCTATTGCTATTGCCTTTGGTTACCTCCCAGAACTTGAAAATAAGGTCCTATGGCTGAAGACACCACACCTTAGGACTTGACGAACCAAGCTGCTGCTGACCTGGAAGGCTCCTCCCCCAGGACCAGCTCCTATAGTATTGGAAGGTGCCCTGCTGGTTGCCAAGAGAGAAAAGTTATCAGCTGTCCTACCCAGCTGTGGATCCTGTGAACCCCCTGGCCTGGCAGAATGGCTCCAACGATGCAATAGTGGCAGTTCTGGCTTGTTAGTAACCAGCGGTTGTCTGATTGGACTAAGGCCTGCTCTACAGAAGGGAACCCTAAGTCCAGGCAAGAATCTGGCGGGAGAGGTTATATACACCAGAAGAGAATCTAAGTTTAGTACAGCTTCATTCAATATAGCTTCCAACTGTGTTCTAAATGCATCATACCCGTAGGTAAGTGTAAGTCGCACCTAGCATCAACGGCTCTTCTTTTTGCAGTAGACAAAGGCGACTACTTCTGTACTTGGGCACAAGGGAGGCAATAAGTAACTGTGGAATGCCTGGCCCGGTTGGTATATCTGCAACACATGCCCTACACCTAAGGCTCAGGGAACACTGTGGAAGAGGGAAAGAGGAGGTTTGATACCTACTGCAGAGTAGTATCTCTTAGAAACAAAGATGTTGAATCCATGAAATCTCAACAATATGGCTGCCTAAACAAGACCTAGAAAATGCCCACTTTTATCCCAGTACTCGGGAGGCAGAGGCAGGCGGATCTCTGTGAGTTCGAGGCCAGCCTGGTCTACAAGAGCTAGTTCCAGGACAGGAACCAAAAGATACGGAGAAACCCTGTCTCGAAAAATCCAAAAAAAAAAAAAGAAAAAGAAAAAGAAAATGCCCACACCAGTTAACGTGCCAGTGTGGATGGAGAGAAATTTCATAAGGCCCCATCCCTATATGAAGAGTTACAGGCAATCAACGGCTGCTGAAAAGGGGGGGGGGGGTAGAACTTGTTTTCTCCGGGGACAAGCACCCTGATAGGTTATCCATCCTAAATTGTCAGCCTGGAACACTTGTACAAAAAGGCAACACTAATTGGAGTCAGTGGGTTGTGCGTATAATAATTATAGAATCATGAATTTGAGGGACAATGTGTGGAGACATGGAGGAGTTGGAGAGTGGGAGGGGTAGAAATGTCAACACGGTGAACTCATTAAATTCTGAAAAAAATAATTTTAAAAGATTTTTTTCTATAGATTTCAAAAGATAATGCTCCCCCCCCCCCCCCAAGACAGGGTTTCTTTGTGTAACAGCTCTGGCTGTCCTGGAACTTTTTGCTGTAGACCAGGCTGGCCTCGAATTCACAGAAATCTACCTGTCTCTGCCTCCCAAATCCTGGGATTAAAGGTGTGTGCCACCACCACTGAGAAAGATAATACTTCTTAAAAGATTAAATTGCTAGTGATTAACAAAAGTTATTAATAAAAAACTCATCAAAAGATATTGATAAATACAGAGAGCTTTTCATCATTTTTGGTGGACTGGGCAAACTCCTGTAAATCTTTTTAAGATGGTATGTAAAATTAATGAAACTTTAGTAACAATTTTAATAAGTTTTATTTTGTGGTAGTTGATAAACATTTGTAAAATGTACACAAAAGAGCAAGTGGCAAGATTCTTTTAAAAAAAATACCAGAAAATAAACTACTAAATCTATTTCCCAGTAATTTGTACACTTAAGTATCAAATAATATATACTCAAATATTCATGGCAGTCTTATTTAAAGCAGCAAAATAAAAACAAAAATGCAAGGGCTGGGAGATGGATCAGTGCTTAAAAGCACCAACATGGCAGCTCACAACCACCCCAAACTCCAGGTAGGGAGTTCAACTTGCTCTTCTGGCCTCCATGCCGACCAGGTATTCCCATGGTACACACACTACATACAAACTAACACTCCTGCACACAAAATAAAAATTAATAACTATGTAAAAACTAAAAATATGATCAGGAAGAACTCACATGTCTCTCAGCAATTGATTAGATAAATAAATTGTATATATCTATTTAGTGGAATACTGTAAAAGGATGAAAAGAATCAACGAACTATACCTGTAAACAGATTAGATAAAATTTGAAAGTAAAATGTCTAGTGCAAAAAGATTTATAAACATGTCAGGGTCTAGCCTTGATGGGATTTGCATGTAGGAGCTTGAGGATTAGAATTATTAAGCAAAAGGAACAGAGATATGAGAGAAATAAAAGACAAAAACACAGAGCAGCACCGGGAGGGAAATTCAGTGAATCTGAACCCAGCCACGTTTATTTTCCACACGCTTATATTCTTCACTCCAAAAGGGGAGGGGGAGGAGGCAACAGACTTCGTTAACGTGGTTTAAGGAATAAAGAGCGTCCTCAGTCAAGCACTCTATTGTTTGGACTGAAAGTGTAACGCCCGCACCCTTAGACCAAGTATCCTGCAGGCAGTCATTCCCCGGAACCTCCTGCCAATCTTTTTCAAGGATCAAGAATAGACTTGAATTTTCTGACCTTTGGTCAAGGTGGAGCCGACCTACCTCTATACTCAAAATACTAATTAGCCACACCCTAGATCAGGCTCTCTTGTTTGTAGCTACACCTGTTGTCAACAACTTTGAAAGAGCAGAAATAAGCTCAAACTCTCTGACCTCCAGTCAAGGTGGAGCAGGACTCACGTCTGTGGCCCTTGGCATAAACACATGTAATTTTTCTCCAAAGAGAGTTTCCAAAATATTATAAAGAATATATATGGTGACAGTTGTGTGGGTTCTAGTATAAACGTTCAGCTGTTGGTTGTTTGTGTCTGATGGCTTTAGACAGAGGCAGGGAAATGGAGCTAAGGAAGGGTTTTTGATAAGGTACTCTAAAAGCAGGAGGGAGGTATTCTGCTTTCTAAGGTGGATGGTGTTTGTAGCTGAACAGACAATCAGAGAAGCCTCCCTCCCTGTAACAGTAATTTATTAGTCAAGAAAACTAGCCTACCTAGACCATCACCCATAGAAGACCCCACTCATCTCCATTTCGGACGTCCCCAGAGACAATCGCTGCTCCCTGACCAGCTATCATACATAACCGTTGTTTGTACAGAAGTGACGTGAGGAATTGTACTATATGTCCTTGAAATTACCCCAGTGGTACCAAGCTACCTTCCTCGTGTCAAATCTGCACATTGGCTCATTACTAATCTGCAGTATCCCTCCATCAGTAGACATTTCTAGCTCTCCCACTGGTGAGCAGCACTGTTGAGACAGGGCCTGAGCCTCCCCACGGAGCTTTCTCTTTGCGAATGGATCTGGCTAGTTCTGTTTTCAATGTCAGATGAACTGTTTTGTTTCACGCTTTCCTTTCTCTATTGCAAACCTGCCAGCACCTCTTTGAACGACACTCTGTGCGCGTGTGTGAGCATCTTCCTTTTCTGTTTTGTTAGATCCTGCCATATTGCTTTTGTGGCACTCGCGAGGAAGCACATACACGCTTTATTTTCTTCAAGTCACCATTAACACTGTGGTCAGATACATGGTGTCAGTTCCCAAGGGATGAATTTCTAATCCCACCATTTTTAGTGGTGCTCAGATTTTTTATCCTGTAGGCTTACCAGTTGCTGGTTGAAATTCTTTGCACACCTCTCCTATAAGCTGCTTATAGAAATTAGGCTGTTTTGATTTTTTAAAAATTGGTCTGTACAAAGGTTTTAGATGTGTTACATAAAAAGAAGCAGTGTTTTTTTTTGTTTGTTTGTTTTTTTTTTTTTTTTTTTTTTTTTTTTGGTTTTTCGAGACAGGGTTTCTCTGTGGCTTTGGAGCCTGTCCTGGAACTAGCTCTGTAGACCAGGCTGGTCTCGAACTCACAGAGATCCGCCTGCCTCTGCCTCCCGAGTGCTGGAATTAAAGGTGTGCGCCACCATCGCCCGGCTTAAGCAGTGTTATGGCTATAGCTCAGAGGCAGAGAGCTTGCTTAGCAGGCACGAGGCCCCAGGTTCAATTCCCAGAACCATAAATTAGTAAACAGAACAATTTGGGGGATCTGGACAGATCTCCTAGCAGTCAAGAGCACTTGGTGCTCTTGCAAAGGACCTGGGTTCAATTTCCAGCACCTACATGGCTGCTCACAACCATCCAAATCCAGTTCCAGAGGATCTGACACCTTCTCTTGGCCTTGGTGTGTACCAGGCATGTGCGTGGTACACATACATACATGCAGGCAAAACACTCATACATATAGAGTAAAAATAAGTCTTTGCTTTTAAGGAAGCAGCAGCAATATATGTGCTAAATGCCTTCCTCCAGTCTTTAGTTTTTAATATTACATTTGGTACCTTTGTGATATACACACGTTTTTAAACATTGAACATCCTATGCCCATGTAACAGTCTACCCTAATAAGCTGTGTTCTCCACCCCCGCCCCAGACCCGGTGCATAGATTCCTTCCAAGGAAAGCACATTATTATTTAAAGTATTCATTATTTTAAAGTACTACTTTTTTTTTTACTTACAGAAAACTACCAAGTTACTTTCCAGACTTGCAGTTCATTTTTGTCCCAGAACGATGATATTTATGAGAGTGTCGATTCTAAAAGGAAGGCTCACCCCAAAGTGGACATTACATGGATCCTTCTCATTCGCTACTACATACACCTGCAGAGAATTAACAATATGAGCAAGCTGCTAGGTGAGCCTCGATGTGTTAAAGAAAAAGAAAGTGTGTGTGTGTGTGTGTGTGTGTGTGTGTGTGTGTGTTTCCTACTTAGGTCACCTTTATAACTTAGAGTATAAAGTTGTTTTGACATCCTTCCGGTGTCAAAAGATGTCACCTTCTGATACCATCATCAGATTTCCTTTACGTTTCAGGAATTTGAACTTGAAATACAGGGAGCTTCATTCCCCCTTCATGGTTGTTTGTCTTTTTGTTTCTCCCTCCCTCCCCCAGAAGATCTTAGCAGGACTGATTCCTAGTTGCCCACAGCCCATGGCATTCATTTCTTCACCCTTTCTAACTCTCCCTTTCTCGTGGCCCCAGTTTTCCGGACCCCTTTCAGAAGAATCCCACACATCTAAATCTCGGCGGCAGGGTCTGTTTGGTGGGAACCCAAAATAAGACAGGTAGGCAGAACAGATGGTGCAGCCCTTAGCATTTACAACCAGCAGCGATATCCTTGTGTGACTCTGAGATTTCCCTTGAAGCCTGTGACAGTCAGCATCTATTAGCAAATAAATCCTATAGAACAAGGTGGTGGCTAGACACTAGCTCATGGGTGTACCATAGCAGGCAGTGAAGGAATACCAAGACTGGGGCCATTCTGTCCCTCACAGGAGCCTTAACAATGGTCTTTCTATTCCCAAGCATCTGCAACTCCGGTCTCGGGGATTTCTTTGCCCGACCACATGCTCCTCACATCCCTGTACAACTCTGAACTGATTATGCGCCAAAGAGAGATGCATATTTTCCTGAAACGGTTCTTACAGCTCTACTCTTCTTCCTGCATCGATGGGTTTCCAAAGGAACTCCTTCAAGGTGTGGAAAACCCTGCTCCACTGGAGAAAGCCCTGTTTGATTCCTCGGGCAAGGTAAGCGTCTGAAGCGTGTGTCTCTGTGAGGTGTTTTGGAGTCACCCTCCTATTGCAGCAAGGAACACATCAGCCTCCAGGGGGTACAGAGTCCGGGAAGGCTCATTTGTGAGGCAAGCGGTAAAGGGAGAGTTACAAATTGTCTTTATTATGGGGACTCAAAAGGAAATGGGGATTCAAAGGGAAACACAGACTCACAGAATACAGGACAAAGTGAAAGCCGCCATGTTCCACTGCTCCGCCCCAGAGAGATGGAAACAACTGCACAAGCTTGCTTCTGCTCTGACCTCCCAAGAGAGCTAAAGAGGTCCCACCTCTCTCCAAGATATCAGGTCCCACACAGAAGCCACGCCCTAGGGCTGGTACCCCAAAAGCTATTGGTGAAATGGGTTCCCAAACAGAGGACCATCAAGTCGCTTACAGTTTTAGGATGGTTACCACTTCAAGTCTTGTTCCCGTTGACCTTTGAAATGATTCAGAATCTTCTATAGTCCTGAAAATCAGTCTCTTTCAGGCAGCCATTTTGCTAAGATCTGATGCAAATTCCAGCATCATAACTTTGCCATAACCTAGTATGAGTCTTTCTAAATCTACACCCAAGTTCTTTTTTATTTGTTTTAAATGTGTAAAATATTATATTGACTTACTTCTCACAGCAGTTAATATAAATAGATTAAAGAAGTAAAAGCTTTAGATGAATTAAGAGTTAGAGAACTCTTTGTTTGGGAAAGGTCTATTAAATTTTATGGATTTTTAGAAAATATGTAATATGAAAACTTTAGAGATTTCCATTGACAAGGCATAAAAAGATGACTATAAATGAAGTTTTAAGAGTTACTTTTAAAACCATCATGGTCTTGAGTAATTGGAATGTTTAAACAAGCTACTGAAAGGAGTTTGAGCATACTGAACAAGTCATTTCAAAAATAGGACTATGGGGGCTTGAAATTCAGTAATCAATAAGCATTTATTGAATCCCTACAGTGTGCCAATGCGGCACTGACTTGGTAGAGATAGATAATGCAGAAAATCAGAGTCCCCTAGTGCAGTCTTGGTCTAGTAGTAGAGAAACACATCTTAGGTTTGACCAAGAGGAAGTTACATTATTTTAGAGATTCTTTCTAAGGGACATCACAAGGAGAGTGTGAAAATTAAAATGGATTATCTAAGGTTTTACTTTGAAATTGCTGGTGGAAACACGGGGAGAATATTTGATGTTTTAAATATAATCAAAACACTTCTCACTGCGACCCCACTAGCCCAGGAAAGAGTGCCAAGAACTGGCAGATGGGATCACATGAAATCAAAAGGTTCCTAGGGGCCAAGGAGATGGCTCAGTGGCTGTGTAACTCCTGAGCACCCATGTAAAAAGCTAGATGCTGTGGCTCTTGACCAGGGCGAGGGGACTAAGATAGGTAGATGACAAAAGCTTGCAGGCCAGCCAGTCAGCCAAAGTGGTATGGGTTATGATGCAGGAACACACTTAAGTTGACCTCTCACTTCTGGAAGCACACACACAAGCAAGTATGCTCTCTCTCACACACATATATATATATACACAGATGTGCACACACACACACACACACACACACACACACACACACACACGCCTACACACAGCTTCTGCACAAGAAAGAGTGGACAGACAGTTCATAGAATGGGAGAGAACTCTTTGTTCAGCTCTACTTCAGAGAAGGGGTCACTATCAGGAATAGACAAAGAATAGCAAAAACTAAGACTAAAACCCAAGCTGCCAATCAACAGATGGGGGGATGGGATGGAGGAGGAGCATCTTGTGGAGGAAGCTGGTATGTTGTGCTTTGTAGATGGTAGGTCTGAGATTCTAACAGAAAACTCAAGGGGACATGGAATCCATGGGCTTCTGGTACATATTGATGAAATGACTAAATCATTTCTCTTGCATAGATTCTTTCAAAATTAGAAAAAAGATGTTCACTTATTCTGAATTGACTCCATCTTTGAATCTCACCACTTAGCTCTTTAGTGTTTGCTGTGTTAGGCTTCCGTGTACTTACTAGCCATGTCCATGTGTCCGTGTGTCTGTTGCCAGCTCTGCCATGTTTGTTCTAGAGCAGGAACCTTTACACATCTTATCCTATCAGGATGGAGCACCTCTGTGCTGGGAGATAATGATAAAAACTTAAAAGAATACTCCAGAACATTCCTGCCTTTTTTATTCCAAAGATTTAGTTGGCTAGTTTTTTGTTTTTGTTTTTTTCTTTTTTAATAAACTGTAACAGGCCATGTATGGTGCATTCCTATAACCCCAACATTCAGGAAGCTGAGCCATGAGAATTGTAAACTGTAGGCCAGCCTGAACTACATGGTAAGACACTATTAAATTATAATATAATTTATATATTAACATAAAATGTTTAAATAATAATATAAGATTCATTAAGGAACTTTTAAGCACTCTATTAAAGATTATGGTTCATGTCCATAATCCCAGCATTCATGAGGCTGAGCCAAGAGGATCTTGAGTTTTCCCACCAGCCTGGGCTGCCTGGTAGAATCTCTGAGGCTGCACAGTGTAACCCCACCTCAACACGATAACAAAGAAACTCAAGCTGAACTCAGATAAAGGAATGGTCAGGGAATTATACTTGTTGGAATCAGGTGGGAGGATGTTTCAAAGGACTCTCCCATCTTTCCAGAAGCCGGAGGACTCTCATATTCCTGACACTTAGCCCCATTCTGGACTGAACTCTAGCTCACTGAGAACTGCAGGAGTTGGAACAGAGGGAAATTGCCCACTTCTCCGAATCACAACATTGACACCGTAGAGTGTGGCTGCCTATCTGTTGGTGAATGGCTCTGCTTGGAGTGAATTTTCTTGCCCTTCACATAGTGTTGGAACACATTGGGCTCCTTCAAATCTCACATGAAGGAACAAAGAATATCCAACCAACAAACAGTTCACTCCCAAGAAAAGCAGAAATGTGGAAGTCCCAGATGCTTCCCCCAAATTCATCAATTAAGTAACTTTCTCCCAAAAGAGGCCTGAGAGGGAAGGCAAGACCAGCAAGATCTCCCAATAGCACACATAGCATGAACAAAAGCACTGGATAAAGGGGTTCCTATCCAACACTAGCTTCTGATTCTGCCCCTTTGGAGCAGAGATTCTTAGGTGGATTGTTGCGAATGTTCTGGACACCTGGGGTTTCAGTTCCTTGCTGTTTATTTGTTTGTTTTGGTCAGTGTCTCATTTTAGGCCAGTCTGACCTAGAACTTACTCTGTAGCTCAGGCTGGTCTCAAACTCACAAGAGCCTTCCTTCCTCAGTCTGCTAAGTGGTGGGGTTATAGGCTTTCACCATCAAGCCTTGCTATACCTTGGCTCTGGAAGGAGAGGACAGGGGACTGGACCTGAAGGCTGAGAACAGTGTTTTAGTTGCTCCTCTCCTGTGCACATTGAATACAACCTCAGAAACTAATGCGCCCGACTGAGGTCTGTTTTGAAAGTGCCGCTGGCCCAGTTGTTCTAGTATGAAGGGTCACCTGGACGCTCATAACCAAATTCTGAGGGTGGAGTTCCACAGGAGGACTTTAGATACGATCTACATCCCTTCGACATTTCTCATGGCAGTGGTTTAATGGCAGATTCTGTTTCACCGGTATGCTTGTGGTTTTCTATAATTAGTGTAACACTATCCCTGGATAATCAGCTCTGAGATCACTGTCGCTTGCCTGACAGGTGCACAGTACCTAATCATGTGTTTGTTTCACTGGGGTGGGTAACTAACGAGCACGAAGCCTTTGGGATGTTTTTATATAATCTCCAAGCTTGGCTGATTTTTATAATAACATTTTTTTGAGCCTTTAATCACTCGGGAGGCTACTTCAATCAAACTATTTCCTTACTTTGATACTTCAGCCTGTGTTTTCCCCCCGTCAAGAAGTAGGTCCCTTTCCATAGCAATCATTGCTCTGTGTTGTGTTGAATCTGTTGGAGCTTGTGATGGAAAACAAAGGCACCAAACAAATCACATTAGAGATCCCAAATAGAAGATGATTAAAATCGTGTGCAAGGCTGAGTTATGCATGCTTATGGACTGCATATGCAGATCTATGCAGCCTGTGCAAATCCAAATATTTGATTAGCTGGAATGATTTAGTTTTGATAGAATGGTAGGTCTGTTATCCCATCCCTTTTAAAGAATTAAGAAAACATAAAAAGAACTTGGTGCATAACTCAACATTGAATGTGTGTGTGTATACCCAAATATATATATACATATATACTTATATATGTATACATATATAATTAATCACCAGCAACTAGATACTATAATGTTTTAAGGATATGGAAAATGTGTGTTTCATATTGATTAAGCGTGTATGTTCAGGTATGTGTATTTGTGGGTGTGCACATGTATGCATCTGTGTGTGGCGGCAAGAAGACAACCACAGATGTAATTCTCTACACGCTACCCACCTTGGTTTAAGAGACAGATATCTCATTGGCCTGGTCCTTACTTCTGCCTGTCTCCCTCCCCCAGCGCTGATCTGATAAGCATATTCTACCATGCTCCACTTTTTCACGTGAACTCTTGAGGATTCGGCTCAGGTCCTCAGGCTCATGAAGCAAGCCCTGATGACTGAGCCATCGCCCTAGTTTGACAGTGATGTCCTACTGTTCTTACTAGGCATTGTTCTAATTGTTACGTGTTGAACTAAAAGGTAACCGATTTTTATTTTCCTAAACTAGCCTAGTTATGAATATGAATTTTTATACCCAGGAAAGCTCCTCATATGAGAAATTCAGTTTTGAAACGGTTCTTTGCTCGCTCTTTTTTATGAAGTGTGGAACCACGCCTCAGTACGCAGAGGTTTTTATAGCTTCTAAATCATTTTGGAGAGTTTCCTATTTAGTATTACCCTTCAGTCAAAATGTCTATCTCCGTTCACCAGTGACCAGCTCGAGGTCATTTCTGTTTTCATTTGGATGACTTGCACCCCAGTCTGTGCTCAAGTCGGCTCAGGCATAAGGAGAGGGGCAGAGGAGACTCTAGCTCTTGTTCCTGTCGTTGATGTGTCTTCCTTGGTCGCCAGCCCCAGCGATGCCTCAGATGTTAGGGGACAATCAGAGAAACTGCTTCCCTGCAATCTTGGGAGCAGGTTACCTTCCAATGGATGGCTCTTTTCAGACCTGCAGTTCTGCATCTGTATTGCTCTCTCCCTGCTTGTCTGCTGTTTAGTTGATAAACATCAACCGTCTTCTGCTCCCTTCTGATGTGGGAGTCCCCTCTGTGTGCTGTGATTACCATTAATGAATAAGGAAACTTCTTTGGACAGAACAGAGATAGGTGGGGAAAACTAAGCTGAATGCTGGGAGAAAGGAGGCAGAGTCAGGGAGAAGCCATGAAGTCTGCTGCCGGAGACAGAAGCACTGAAACTTTGCTGGTAGGCCACGACCTTGTGGTGTTGCACAGATTAATAGAGATGGGTTAAATTAAGATGTAAGACTTAGCCAATAAAATACTAGAGCTAATGGGCCAAGCAGTGCTTTAAATAATATGGTTTCCGTGTGATTATTTTGGGGCTAAGCGACCAGGAACAAACTAGCGGCCTCCTTACAACACCCTTCGTCATCAGAGACTCTTTAAACAAGGGATGAAGCTCTCAGTTCCATTCTTTGCAGTTGTGTCCCTGGCCCAGTGACCTAATTTCCTAGGAGTAGTGAGATCGCACCGAGGGCTTGGACTTACAAACCAGCCACATTCATGTAAAGAAGGGATGAGGAAACTGGACTCTAACCTTTCAGGGAAGAGTGAGTGTCCCCCTTTGTGTATGGTGCCACCATTAAATAGTGTATAAATTATAATCACACACTCTGTGCTAGCAGCATTGCCAGGTGCTAACCAATTGTGCCCCTGGGGCATGAAGCACAGACTCTGGCTATTTCCTCATCAGTGTGTAAAGCAGAAACAGTGTAATGGGTATTTCTTAGCAACAAGTTTCAGGGTAGCCCCCACCTCAAAGTTTTACTGCAATGAAAGACATTTCTAGAGTCCAGAGGGTTTTAAAGCATCATTTATTAAATGAGAATTTATTTTATGGTAATCTAGGGTCTCCCTCCATCAAATAAGCTGAGAGAATTCCCAGAATTTTTTTAATGCAGCAGTTAATTTACTTTAAATATTGAATGAGTTCATTATCAGCCACTACACTGACATGGTTTCTCACTATTACTGTTCCCCAGATTCATCGGGACAGTTCCCTGCAGTCTGATATCTCCTCAAAGGTGCAGGGCAGTCCGTCTTACACAGATGTCTCGTCAGAAACGGCAGTGCAAGCGCAGAACAAGGAGCTCTGCTTCCAGTGGTATATCCCTCCCCTGGACAGACCTCCCAAGGACGTGGAACCCATGGTATGTACGCACTGACCGCGCTCAATATTCCGTTCAGAGATGAGGCTGAGAACACGCTAGTAACTAGCTACTGTGGGGACCACTCCCTTAACGACTGACAACCGAGCAGTGATTCAGAGTCTAGGGGAGTCTTGGAAATGGGTCAGGCTTTGCAAAGGGGAACAATTGGTCAATACAACCTTTTAGGGAGAAACCTTCTACTGTAGAGTTCCTCTGACTAGTGCTTGCTCTAAGAGCCTCGGGCATTTTCCCACAGAATGCTAGCCTTAGGGGTTTTCCTGGTCTGGCATTTTCGTTTGTTTTTCATCTCCTGCATCGGTTTCCTTTTGCACTCTCCAGCACGTAAGCTTTGTCCCCTCCAGCGGTGCCTCTGGTAGCTTCTGCACCCCCTTGACTCACGTGACCTCTGTCAAATCGTAAACCTCTGAGCTCTTTTGTTTTGTTCTCTATCTTCCCTCTCCTTTCATTGGTCTGCTAACTCTAGGCCAATTATACAGCCTTCCCTATTCAGACAAAAAGAGAGATTTACCATATCACTTCCCAGCTTTATTTAAGCTCTGTCATACCTCTTAAAGCAAGCCATCCTGTTATCTACAGGTGATTGGTTTCTGGATTTTCCAAAGATACCAAAGTTCATAGATGCTCAAGTCTCTTTACTAAAATGATGCATTTGCGTATGACCCACATACGTGCTCGTGTACACTTTCAATCATTGCTGCATCAGATGTAACATCTGATACCAAGAAAACGTGTGCATGGCCGCTACGCTGTGTTATGTTGGAAATAATGACCAGACAGAATCTTTGCGTGTTCAGCAGACACAGCAAAAATGTTTTCAGTCTGTAGCTGGTTGAAAGTGTGAATGTAGGAGCCCATGGCTGTGGAGGGCTGTCCACACCATCTGTTCCCCTCTTTCCTCGTCCAATTCTTGCCCGATAGCCCACCTAACTTCTAAAATAGCATCTCTATCCTGTGTTTCAAGGAAATACACCATAGTAGTTTTCGAATCGTGGTGGCCCAAATACGAATAGGTGAGAGAGTCAATACAAGTCGGTCATGGGTAGCATTGAGTGTGTGCCCGTGTGTATGTCTATGTATGTGTGCACATGTGTGTCTATGTATGTGTACACATGTGTATATGTATGTGTGCACATGTGCATATGTATTTGTGCACATGTGTGTGCCCGTGTGTATGTATATGTATGTGTGCCCGTGTGTATGTATATGTATGTGTGCACATGTGTGTGTATATGTATGTGTGCCCGTGTATATGTATGTGTGCACATGTGTGTATATGTATGTGTGCACATGTGTGTGCCCGCGTGTATGTATATGTATGTGTGCACATGTGTGTATATGTATGTGTGCACATGTGTGTATATGTATGTGTGCCCCTGTGTATGTATATGTATGTGTGCCCGTGTGTGTATATGTATGTGTGCACATGTGTGTATATGTGTGTGTGCACATGTGTGTATATGTATGTGTGCACATGTGTGTATATGTATGTGTGCACATGTGTGTGTACACTGCAGGCACAGGAGAGGAGAGCGAAAAAACGGCATCATGTTCTTCACTGTTTCCCTGAGAAGGGTCTTTCAGTGTTGTGGCGCTTGCCTGGCCAGTGAGCTCCTGGATCTGCTGGTTTCTGTTTCTCCAACGCTGGGATCTAGGGAGCATGCAGCTGCGTGAGGATTTTTATGAGTGTGTTGCTGGGTGTTCACAACTGGGTTCTCTCCCCTCCCCCACTCCCTTTCTCCCCTCTTTTTCTTTCTCGTACTGGGACATCTCTCCATCTCAAAAGCAATTCTTTCTAAAAAGAATAAGACACAAGCCAAAAAAGCACACATCACATATCAGTAAAAAAGGCTTTGTGAGAATTTTGTTTAATGATAAATGTTGTTAAAGACAAAATTTCCAAGATTGGTCATCATGTATCACAATGTATTACTTGGAGGAAATCCAACAAAAAATGCAAGTTTAAGGGTTTTGAGGGTTTTATAGTTGGAAAACTGTGGCGGACCTCTCGACCGGCGAGAAAGAATGACCACCACACCAGGATTCCACTCAGATCACGCTTTTACTGGAGTGCCCTTGATTGATGGGGAGCATGGAACGAGAGGGCGGGAAAGCGAGGAACAGGGAGCAGAGGGGAGAGGCAGCAGGAAGCGAAGGGACCGGGGTGCACTTAGGCAGCCGCTTAAATAGGGAATTGGCACACGGGTCGCCCTGTGATTGACTGCCACCAACAGCTGACACCAGACCGCATCGGGATAGGCTCAAGGATCCTCATCCAACGCGCATGCGGGAAGCGGGGACGCGCAGCTCTCAAAGCCATAGCCAAATATGGAGTTGTTTATAACCAACAAGACAGGATGTCGGCGCCATCTTGTAATGGCGATCCTGTCCGGCTCACTACAGAAAACCAAAATATTTATCTAAGAACTAGTCCTTTAAAATTAAAAATTGTTCATGTTACCAGACTGTAAAGCAGCCATATCATGTCGGTCACTGGGATGGCAGATTGGTGCAGCATGATCTGGGTGTCCTTGTGTTGATGTCAGGTGACAGAAACCATCCTCCAGGAATCAGGTGCTGAGCCCTCAGCTCTGACATCTCCAGGGTAACGAGGTGTTGTCCATAAACAGCTGTGTCTGACAGCAAACAAGGCCTCCATAGTCTGAGATCAGGAAGTTAGATGCAGAGTCCCAACCATAAATTCCGATTTAAGGTGATTAATTTTTCTCAAGGCACATGAAAACAGGCCGAGCAGTTTCCCTCTTTCTCTTACCTTGGGTCCATCCGTAGCAGTGAACGTGTATATATGTCTGTGCATGTCACACAATAAAAGATGTAGTAGCTGTCAAAAAATAGCACGAAGAAAAATTTCCCTAGATAACTACATCCTTGCAGATCCCAAATTCCTACCGTTTTGGAAGGTATTTCCGTCAGTTGCTCAGTTATTTTAGCTATCGTTTCTGTGCACCCACCTACTCATTACTTTTGCATGTTAACGTAGAGGTGGGTGTCAGGTAAACTCCACTGAGACTCAGCACGTCCTAGATGGTAACCGCACTGAGCGCTGTGCCCAGCTGGGTGCGTGAAAGCAGTTTTGTTCCCCTTAGCTTGACAGCAACTATACGAGATAGGTGAGATCACTAACCCCATTTCACAGAAGAGGAGATGGGGACCAAGAATGGAGGACTTCCAGGTGACAGGGACACAGATGGGAACCATCTGTCTCTAGAGTATATCTGCCTAAGTATGCAAGAGACCACATTTAGTTCTTGGATGATGTCTACAGATACTCTGGTCTCAGGCAAGATGGATGAAATCTCATCTCTTATTTAGCCCTACAGATGTTCCAGGGACTATAATGGGAATTTGCAGGTCATGGTAAATTCATGTCACTGCATCCACTCTTGTGTACTGACTACTTAGAAGCAGAAATGACAGTAGGAGCCAAGGATGCTGGGGTCAGTAGAGTAGATCTCCCAGTATTGGAGAGATTTCGATTTGGACAGGAAGCTTTTTTTTTTTTTAAAGAATTCAGAGAGATAAGTTTCTCTAGGTAATGAACTTCAGAGCTAAGTTCAAGTTTGTAACTTAGAAAGTCTTAACTTCCTAAATACAGGAAGAAGAAATCAGACTATCTTATCTGAAAAAATATATATCTTTAGTAGAATATTACAGAACCACACAAAAGTAACTTTAGATTTTGTTACAAAGTAAGTACCTCTCAAACTATTTCAGTATCCAGTAGAGACAGAAACTAAATGGCCACTAAAGACATACATCTAAAAAAAAACCTCTCAGGTTGAAGAATTGTTGCTTTCAGTAAGACACACAACATAGCTCAGCTATAAAGACATGTATTCAGAGCCAGAGGTTTTATGACTTAGATTTGTCTCAAGGTTATACCTGAGAGCCTTGGCTTTTATCCTGCCTCATCTTCCTACCCTGGCTTTTAGCAATCAGGGTTCCACTTTGCGGTTCCTGGAGGGATCTGACTTGCATTTATAAGGTGATGAGCTTCAAGGTACGCATTCAGCAGGAATGCTGAGTGACAAAGGTGTGGTGGTTTATTGTAAACTAGATACAAGCTACTCATTTGGGAAGAGGGATGTCATCTGAGGAATTGCCTCCATTAGATTGTCCTGTAAACAAGTCTGTGGGGATATTTTATTTTGATTAATGATTAATGTGGATGGGCCCAATTCACTGTGACTGGCGCCACCCTTAGCCAGAAGGTTCTGTGATATAAGCAAGCTGAGCATGCTGCAGAGGACAGGTCAGTAAGGAGTACTGCTGACTTGTAACCAGAGGCCTCGTTTCAGTTCCTTCCTCCCAAGTCCCTACTTGAATTCCTGGCCTGGCTTCCCTCAATGATAGAGTATGGTCTTGTAGTATAAGCCAGGTAAGCCCTTACTCCTCCAAGTTTCTTTTGGGCATGGTATTTATCATAGCAACAGAAAGCCAAGTAGGACAAGGGGATTGATGGCTAACCTTTTTATGAGCATTAAGACTTAATTTGGTCTCCTACATTGCCTCAAAGGCCATTGTGTTCTATGTAACTTCACAGTCCAAGGCCTGGTATCTTGAGAACACAGAAATGCAGACAGACAAGCATGAATGTATTCAGGAAGTCTAATCAGGCAAAACACTGAACATTAGGCAGAAAGACTCCATCTGACTAGTGAGAACAACTTTGAGCAGAAATGAACCCCCAAGTTACTTAATTAGTAATAGATTTGAGTCATGCTTGGGGGCAAGAGATGTGGAGCCATGTTCCTTCTTGGAGGCCTTTATACCTTTAACAAGAATGATATTCTTTCTAGACTGTGTCTTCAAAACCAGCTCAATCCAGCAGGATAGCAAGGTAGGAGCTGGGCTTCCTATAGTTAGTGCCTAGAGGATTACAGGAATCATGTGATTACCCAGGGCTTTCCTCTCAGTTGTCACTTGATTTGGAGTCTTGATTGGACTGGATCCCAGTACTCCTACAGACGTAGGTGTGTACTAAGCGAGTAGTATACTAGATATATACTAACTATAGCTACTAGGTGTGTATTATAAGCCTATCACAAGGAATGGGGTAGTTGCATCTACAGTTTACTAACAAAGAGGCAGAGACTGATGTTTACACAACTTGCTCAAGATCACAAAGACACTAAGCGGGAGAGACATGGGATAGACACACTGCTCCATGCTCATTGTGACGACGAGTGTGTTTAGGGTGTGATGATGGGGTGTTCTGATCTCACACTGTCATTTATCCACTGACTTCAGCAGTCTGTACCAAACTCAGGTGGATAAAGCTTTGAGCCTGCATGCAGGCTGCAGAAAGCTGCTGGCACTAACAGGAAGAAAGCCTTTGACATGAATCTGAAGTGTGCATCTAATAAAAACCTTTTCATTCACATGCTTTAGGAAATGTCTTAGTTAGGGTTCCTACTGCTGTTTGAAAGGAGATCATTTGATTGGAGTGGCTCATTTACAGTTCAGAGGTTGAGTCCATTATCATCATGGTAGGAATCAAGGCAGCATGCAGGCACTTGTGGTGTTGGAGAAGGAACTGAGAGTGGAGAAGGAGCTACATCTGTGGGCAACAGGAAGTAGTCTGTTTCATTGGGTGTAGCTTGAGCATAGGAGACCTCAAAGCCCACCCCCAGAGTGATACACTTTCTCCAATAAGGTTACACCTACTCCAACAAGGCCAAACTTCCCATTAGTGACACTTTTTGGGGGTGGCCATTTTCTTTCAAACCACTACAGGGAACTTCACTGACCCCCTAGCCGACATGATGGAAAATTCAGAAACATGATATCAATTGGACAAATAATGAAAAAAATTGCTCCAAAGTACAAGATAATATTCCTGTCCTCAAGAATCTTAAATTATGCTCCCGGAGTCAAGGATAACACAAAGCAAGAGCAGACAGCATAAGACAATGTGTGGTCTTGGCCAAATCTCTTGGGGAGATTTCATCATCTTATGAAAAATATTTTGCCACATCTCACATAAAATACATAATTTAACACATCGGAAGCATTCCTTCGCTATCTCTGGCATGCTTACATTGCTATTGAGAAATGACTCCATCTCCTCTGCGCTCTCCTCTCTGCCCCTCCCCATCCATTTCTATTTTCAGAATGGTTATTATGATATTTTTATCACACTGTGCTTCAGTGGGTTACAGAAACTTTTGTCAACTCGCACTTAGACTCTCTTGCTTACATGATGTATAGGCTTCCTTGTAGGGTAACTGGAGGGAGAGGGTGCTGAAATGCCAGTGTCGGTGAGTCTTTTCTTTTTAATTGATCAATGATCCGAGAGAGAATACGCGAATACGCTTCAGCCTGATGCGGCCGAGTGCATAGATACCTCACATTCATAATGCATTAATTCCGATATTTCCCCCAGCACCTGCCCCCAGAACTAAAGCCATGAATATAGAAGGTCTGATTTAACATTTGCAGACCACAGAGTTGGGGAGAGGGGTCTCCCAGGAATAGAGTCACGGGAAATGCTGAATCTACCCACTTGGGCAGGGAAGGAACCTGGTGAGAGCTGTTGGCTTCTGTTTGTGGTCTCACCTGCTCTCGCCATCTCAGCGGCCTGACCTGGCCCTCTGATTCTGGAGCTTTCCCCATTCTAGGTCATGCTTGATGCTGACAAGCCCTTTGAAGACACTCAGGGCACCCCCCCCCCTTCTGAATCTCCTGAATGCTCTCTGTTCTTCGAAGTGCTGCCAAATCCCATCTCTTTCACTCCCTTTCCTTTTTGTCTTTGCGAATCTACAGCTTAAAGCTAGCCCTTCAGTCTCCACTTTGACTTGCATGGAAGCGGAGGTCCGTGCATGGGCCTGGCTAGTCTGGGCTTCTGCTTTCTAACCTCGAAAGCGACGGGAGGGTCTGTGACTCTCACATTCTGTGAGTCCGCAGCTTTCCATAGAGGTTACATTGCATGGAGCCGGCACTAAGAATTATCCAAAACTAAGCAGCAGGGAAATTACTGGGGCACGAGTCACCTCCTCCTCTTAAAGAGGCCTATGACGCTGTGTGGAGTTGAAATAAATGGAGAAGCGAGGAGGAGGAGAGCATTGTAAATGGGTGTATGGGAGTGGGTGACCCAACTGTCAGGGAAGGCGCACCCATTGAGAAGTAACGGGAAACATTGTGTACCCACCAGGTAGGTATCTGTGCTTGTTGCAGAGAGCCTGTGAATGCTGAAACTTAAATTTAACTGCAGTGCAAAACACTACTTACTCCAAATAGCATGTATTTTCATGCAATTATATTTGTATATTTTTTCTAGGCAGTGTGTTATTTTTTTTGAACTCACTATGTTGTCTAGGATGACTTGAACTCTGAATTCTTGTGTCTCTGCTTCCCACAGTCCGGGATTCTGAGAATGTGTTGCCATAACCAAATTAGCAAATTAGCTTTTTACATCTCATATTTCTCTTTATAGTGAACTGAAAGAGAATTCTCTTTCTCATTTCTCGTTTATTTTCTACAGGGAAACTTTAAAATACGGTGATCTTCTCAATAAGGAAGAGGGATAGTTTTGATGCCTATTTTGGTATGCTCTTATTTTTCTTTAGGTTTTATTATTGTATGCATATAATTTGAAGCCCCTGAAGATTTCTGATATTAAAATGCCTACTGGGAACAGCCTGTGTGTCGGCACCTCCTGGATTCCACTGAACAGGCAAGTAGACACCATTGTCAGGAAGCCAACTGGGGATGGTGATGAATAAGAAGTCAGCCCAAATAGTAAAGAAAGAAAGGAATTCCCAGAAGACAGAGAGGGAGAGCCTAGGGTCCGGGTAGGAGGCTCGGCCTAGGCTGGGTGGTGCTTTGCTGCCAATCTGAATGAGCACAGCTGTAGAGGGCTCGGGGCCTAGTGTCAGGACATTTTCTCTGTGCTTTTTGTAAGGTCTCAGGTTTATGGGTTCGAGACGGATACCAAGACGGATTCTCCTTTGAAGTAATAGATTCGTCAGGGAGTTATTAACTCTCATGAAAGACAGCATGGTGGGGGCCCTGAGGAGAATCCAGGCCTGTGTGGGGTCACATCTTAGAGCATTCAGGGACACAGGAGAGGTCCCGTCATGTGATTGATGAGCAGCCCAGAGTACACACTTGCCTTTGCCACATCTCCTGAAGTGACGCCTCGTCGGAAAAGGAAAGGGCAAAGGTTTGCCCGCTCAGTTAATGTGTGTCTGTCACCCAGGTGTGGCATGTGGAGCTCCCGATTGCGCAGACTGCCTGGTTAAACCTCCTTTGGTGAACAGAGGTTTGCAGACTCACAAGCAAACTCTCTTGGTACCTGCCATTTCGCTGTCCAATATGTGTTCATAATAAAAACTTGGAAGAAGCTTGACTAGAAGGGACATGTGTCAACATAACAAAGGCTATATTCTACAAACTTACAGCCAATACTATACAAAACGGGAAAAACCATTCGATGCAATCCTCACTACAATCAACAAGGCCAGGATGTGCCTTGGTTTCTGAACCACAGCAATAAGACAAGAGCAGGAAACAAAATGGATGGCAATATTAAGATAGGCCAGATTACCCTGTCTGCAAACAATATGATCTTGTGCAGAGGAGACCCTTAAGACTTCAGGATATCCTTGGAACTGATAAGCACTTTTAGCAAAAGAGCAATGCTAGAGGTGGTCACAATACCGGATTTCGAGCCATATCATAGAGCCATGATAGCAACAGCATGGGTGTCAGCACAGATAGACATGAGAATCCGTGTAATAGAAGAGAGGATGCAGAATTAAGCCAAAGTAGCTACCGTCACCTGAGTTTTGGCAGAGATGCCAAGAGCATGTATTGAAGGAAAGGCAGCCTTCGGCAAAGAGTCCTGGGAAAGTTTGATTCGTGTGTGAAGAAGAATGAAATTAGGTCCACACATGTCTCTTATCCTGGCTAAAAGATTCACACTGATGAACTGCAAACCTGTTATGGGAAACCAGCGGAAGCGCTTCCGTGCATAGGAAGCAGCAAGACTTTCTCAGAGAGACGCCAGTCACTCAGGGAATGACATCACAAACAGCAGAGTGACACTGTGTGAAATTAAAAAGCTTTTACATAGCATTGGCGACAGTCACCAGAGCTTAGGGACAGCCCACAGACAGAGCAACTCTTTCAGAGCTGTGTGCTGGACGGAGGATTAGGAGCTAGAAATAACTCAAGAAACTAAGTATCCCCCAAGCAATCCAGTTAATTTTGGTTTAAAAATGGGCTGTGGGGATGGCTGTTGGTTCTCTATGATGTTGCAAATTAAATCCAAAATCTCCTTTGTCTCCTTTCCTTCTGTACCAAGCCACGTTTTATATTGTTCCCAAATTAAACCCTTTAGCCAGGTCTAGTCCTCTCTTTACATCAATCAGAAAAGATCTTTAATTATTTTGTTGTTGTTAAATTTTGTTTACTTATTTTCTGTTTTCCTGCCTTTTTACCGAATTCTGTTTTTGGTTTAAAAGAAATGTTTTCACTTTGCTAGCTCATCTTCAACTCAATCGCCCACTACCCTGACACCTTCAGCCTCCGTTTCTTGTAGGGGGGGAGGGGAGGTGATAGCCTCTCCTTGCCTTGCTTCCTGGTGGTTGTTAGCCTCATGTCTGATGATGGATGAACAGGCGTTGGGAGACTGACAGCACAGGTGTGTCCTGGCACCTGCTCCCCGCCCCATCAGGCATCTGGTGAGAGCCGTGCAGACGGAGTCACACTCTGCCTGCCTGTCTCCCCAGAGATCCCTGTTCATGCCCCATGATTTTCTGATCTCGGGACTTCTTTGCCTTCTTATGAAAGAGAATAAAACAAGAGCTGTCTCAAAAGCTGGCAGGCCTCCAATTATTTAGTCAATATTCCTCCCGCCCTGCTTTTAATTTTTTCCCTTTAAATCGAAATGTTGGGGAACCTAAGCCCAGACCATATACCAGTGTCCAAAGCCACAGAATCAGGACATTTTGCATTTTCCTTATAAATCCTGAAATACTCCAGGTATTCAATTTTCATTTTCCAGAACCACAAGATGAATGCAAAGATAAAACCTGCAGAGCAGAAAGGCACCAATGAGAGGTTTTTTTAAAATTCTGATGAAATTAAATTTAATTTACAATTTGAATTCTTGTAAAGTGGCCAGGTTTGTGATCACCAGTAAACCACTCAGAGACGAGCCCTTGTCACTGAGCTTGTCTCAGGGGATGGCCTCTCCCCTGATGCAGGACAATTTGTCTTGCTCGGGCTGGGTTGTGTTCTGTTGAGTGTCACCTCTTGTCCACTCGCTGAAGACAAGGCGAGAGTGACTGCGGCAGAGAAAATGGACAGAGAGAACTTGCCCGTCCTCATCCACCTCTTCATCTCCCAGGGAAAGACGTGTTCTAATTGTTTCTCTTACAGCCACAGAGAAAAAGTCTGTGTTCTCAGAAATCTGCAAATCAAAGTTCCGGCTAGTTCTCAGTGGCCGTTACACCTTGATGACCAGAATCAGGTTCTTTGGTCACTCTCCCTACATGTCATCATCTTTCATCTTAATCTGTGTCTCTGCTTCCCACTGGGTCCTGTCCTCCAGCCCTGGCAGACTAGGAGAGTGCCCACGCTTTAGGGACAACAGGACCTTGGAGAGCTCTTGGAGCTTAGGGAGAATGGTAGATACTTGCCTGTGGGCTCAAGGCAGGAAGTCCAAAAGCTGGACCAGACATTGGCCTTGGAGACAGACAGGTGAAGAGTGAGCAAGAGGGAAGCAAGGGCTGGCTGGAGAAAGAAGCAGGTCAGGCCGTTGGGCAGGCACAGTCAGGAGGACTGAACCTCCTATAGCCATTCAGCATCACCTAATGTTGCTGTTTTTCTTTTAAGCAAGGTGAAAAGCTAGGGAGACACCAAACCTTCATGGCTGAGAACACAATGGGAATGGGCAAAGCCCAGCACACTTTGCTGGGCACTGGGATATGTATTTTGAGCATTTACTCTGAAGAAGGCATTGCCATCTCTGGGTTCAGGGAAATCAGGAACAACCTGTGACCCATTGTCAAGAGCTAGTTTATTCTTATTACATCCCAAAGTATGGTAATAGAAAACTATGCACTCATTGGAGGTACTGAGGGTTAAGCACAAGGCTTTGTACATCCGGGGCAAGCACTGTACTATAGGGATGCACCCTCAGGTCTATGTGGCCTTTGAAACGACATGAGAAGCCTTTCTCTGAGTATTCTAATGAAGAATGGGGCCTAGGATGCTTTCTTCCCTTTGTGAGCTATTTTAAAGTTAAACATGTGCAGATACATTATTTCCTCCTTTAAAATGCCCTGTGAATGACATGAAATGGATTTTATTAGGCCGGCCTTGCCGTAGAGGAATCTCAGGGTAGGATGCTAACTGACTTGCAGGCTGGTCTAGGGTAAGAGGAAGGACCAAGACATTGGTTGGGTTCCCTGTGAAGGAGCTAAGTATGACCCACCAAGTCCTGGCTCCCTCTCTCTCTCCAGTACAATAGACAGCTTTGCCAGCATGATTGGATAGTACTCTCTTCTTACTGGGCAAGTGGTCCAAGCAAACATAATGACAAATCTTTATGTTTTAAGTGTTACCCTTTGGCAGAAACATATAGATTCTATATATGAAAATTCTCATATGTATGTACTATCAATGAGGACAATCAAATTGTACTCCAAGTTGCGAGTAGAGATAGCATGGAAGACCGGGAAGCTGAAGTTTGGTGTATACGCGTCTGCCATTCTGCTCTTTGGATCACCTCATTTTGCACAATAATGTGCCTCCTGCCCTGTGTGAAGATGTGCACACTCATTCTGTTCCTATAGGGCAGAAGTCACTTAGAGCCATGCAGGTGGTCTCGCCTAGCTTCTTCCCAATACAAACCTTTGATCTCCACTCTGCTGATCTACGCTGCTCTCAGAGCATCCGGCCTTCACTGTCCTTAATCTCCACTCTGCTGATCTGCGCTGCTCTCAGAGCATCCGGCCTTCACTGTCCTTAAGCCCTTGACGTTGTCCTTCTGTAGCATCATCACCAATGCTCCTGCCTCCTCTTTGGCTCTTGTTTTTATCTCTCTGTCCCTACCACCCCCGGCACAGATACACAGATACACAGAAACACACACACACACACACATGAGTGTGCAGTCATTTACTGGCCTTTCAAATACTTGCTAATTTGTCATAGCTTTTACCTTGAGTCAACTGGACAGCCATTCCATGCCATTAACATCTACATGAAAGTGAATCTTCTGTTGATTGACTGGAGTTTCCTTGCCCATATAAATATTTATTTTCATATTCATAATAATTTGGTGGGGTGTCTTCTTGTCACTGTGCCCTTACCCCATTATAGTGTATATCAACCCAAGTGCGTAAATAGATATAAACATCACATGTGTGTTTGTTTGTCTGTTGAATGAAGAAATGATTGAATTGATGATATTTGGGGGAATTCAGACACTTAACTTTTAAATAAATAAAGGCTGAATTCATAAATCTTATTGATTCTAAAACCAACACCCCTCTTGACTTTTCAAATAAAATGAATATATATATATATATATATATATATATATATATATATATATATATATGTTTGCTATTTTTAGGGTCATCGCAATTCATGAGAAACTGTCTAATCTTGCACAAATAGCGGAGCTATCATTACCATCAGTTCCAGAAGTTGCTTCGAATGAAAATATATATGAATCCGTAGAACCTGAAGAAAAATCAATTGATACAGACATGGAAGTAAGTAGATTGCTAAGTGACAGCCAAATGAACTTGCCATTGTGGGAAAGGGGGCAAACCATACATTGTCCCTCACGTTTTTATCGTATCACATGCACTAACATTTTGCTGGTCTAATAAGTCCCATACTCTCAGTGCCAATGATCTCGTGACCAGCTTGGAAGCAGGAAATCCAGAATATCACCCCAATGCTGCTAGCAGCAGGCAGCCATCATTTTTGTTTTCTTGTGTCAATTTTAGATGCTATTGATTTTCTGTTTGGATATTTTATGGTTTGGCAAATTTACTGCCCCCTTCTTCCCAATTTCTGCCTCCTCCTTCCCTTCTGAATGCTGTCACATCACAGCGGGTATTGGAAACCACACCCAGTGTTTATATTTTTATGGTCCTGTAAAAAGTGCTAACAGCTGGGGCAGGAAGACCTTCGGCTGCTTTCTTTTCTGGTATGTTTGGTTTCTTGTGACTAATTTTTTCTTTTTAATCCTTCACTGTTTCCCACTTACTGCATCCGAACTGTCAGGTGTTCGTCCGGAGATTTTTGACTAAAGAGCTCAAACTTATCACCTAGTGTCTCGGTTGCGTTTTCTTCCTGGGCTCCCCATCCTCCAGCTGTCCTTTCCACTAGGCTGTCTGTCCTCAGAGCCAGCCGGTGAGGCTGGGGCTGGCCCTCCCTGCTGCCCTCCTGGTTGAGGCTCTGTCAGTCTCAGCCCCTTCCTTGCTTTTCTTCTCTGAAAGCCTGCAGGGTCTTTGCTTTAGTATAGAAGGTCGTTTGTTTCCTTAAGTCATTTGGCCAGGAAACTTTAACAGGTCACAACAATGTAAAAAACATCTTTAATTCACAAAGAATAATATTTGCATGGCTCTTCATTTTCTTATTTAGCTCATCTATATAGTTTTGATGGGTGAACGTGTAAGGACGAGCAACCTTTCTGATTTTCAGAGGATATTTGTTGGCATTTCCCGTCTCAATTTACTAGCAAAAATGAGTTTTCTTTTTCTGTTATTATGCAGGTTAGCAGCCCGTGTGTACGGGAGGCTGTCAGGGGAGCCCAGGCAGCCTTTGTAAAATGCCACTCGCCAGCATTTAAGTCCTCTGCTCTCTGCCAGCATTTATAAGGAGCAGATGTCTTAGAATTCGAGCTGCGCATCCTTTTCGATGGCCTCAGAAGTCGCCACGTGACTTCATCCTTTTCAGAGGCCTCAGATGTTCCCTTGCTTCCTGTGCTTACTGATAAACGGAGTGCGGCATTAATCTCGCAATAGGTCGGAGAGCTCCCACTATCTCAGACTCGGGAGATTTCGGAGCCAGATATGGATTATACATTTCTCTCACGAAGAGCGCATTGCCCTCTCATGTCTGCTTTCAAGAAGAACTCGGCTCTCTTGACTCGTCCTCGTCGTTTGTAGTGCTCTCTCAATCAGTTCCCCAGTCACAAACTTATCAGAGTGCTGTCTTTGAGACACAGCCTAGAATATTCTTTGCTTAAATTTCTCCTAGCACTTTTCTCCATGGTTAGTATATGGAAAATCGTTTCCTTCCGAATCTGCCTGTCTTTTCAGCTTTGATTGTCCGAGGCAGGAAAACGTCTGTAATATGAGGAAGTCACTCCAGACTGTGTTCTGCCTCTCTGCCCTCCTACCCCGTCAGACACTCCATCCATTTTCTAGGACTAATTTTCTTTTCATCTCTCAAATAAACAATCCTTTCACACAAAGACAGGCTGTTTGGACAGAGCCAGAGTTTCCAGGGTGACCCTGGTCAACGTAGGTGGAAAATTCATCATCAGAAGACAAATGTCTGAGTCGGGGGGTTGACTGTGAACATAAACAGGTCAGGAATAAATGGGGACGTGGGGGTGGGCAGAGGAATCCAGAGGACCTGTGTTGCCTTGGCGAAGGCATGTAACTTGCCCTCATGTTCTGATTTGGTATATGAGGGCCAACCACAGAGGAACCAGCCCTCTTCAATCTTGATATCTTCCTCGGTATTTTTAAATTTGTTTCCCTGGCTTAGTGTTTCCTTAGCATTGTTTTAGGTATGTTCCAGCTCCCGTTGGCTCTGTATGTGAAAGGAAGATAAGCTTCTATCACCTAAGAGAAGGAATTGCATTTGCTCGGAGATGAATTGGCAAGTGAATTAGTTCACAGCAATTATAAGAAATAGAAGTAACATATTTTTCCTTTCAACAGTATTAAGCAGCACTTAAAAAAAAAAGCTAGATTCTGGTTCATATCAAATCTCATTGACTAAATTTGTCGCCATGGCAATTCTCACTTCGAGCTAATTAGAAGCGAACTAGGCCACTTGACGAGATCAGTTCTTCTGGAATTGGACAGGAATTCATGGCTTCTAAATGGGATATTTCTATTACATGTTATATATTGTTGGTAGGTTATTGAACTAAGGATATAAATCAAGTGCCTTTGGTTGCTATGTGGGGTGTGGGTTGAGTTCATTCCTTTTCCTTCAGGTCCTTCCAATTTTCTTTTATTTTTTCCTTTTCCAAAGTCCCTAGGTCCAGAATGAGCCAGGGACTTGGGAACACAGATGTTAATTTAAGATAGATTAGGGAGGCTACCCAGCAGGTGGTCTGGTCACTTCTAACAGGAGCAGTGGCTCAGAATGACTGATTTCTATTGCTCCTCCACTCACAGCAAGCAGAACTGGCACATTACGGCACGGGAAAGGACTCAGTTGTGGCTTAATTGGCAGAGTGCTTGCCTAGCATGAACAAGGCCCTGGGTTTGTTCTCCAGCACACCATAAAACTGGCTGCAGCGGCTCATGCCTTTAATTTTAGCACTTGGGAAGCAAAGGTGAGAGGATCAGGAGTTCAAGGTCATCCTCCTCACCCACGTAGTGATTTAAGGATAGCCTGAGCAGTTAAGGATAGCCTGAGCTACTGAGCCTCTGTCTCAATAAAACAAATCAACAAACAAAGGAGCAAAAGGTAGGAAATAAGTCTGCAAGCCATGCTGATTTTAAGATGGAAACACCTCATTTGGAGTGAGAATATGTTGCTATAAGAAGCCTACTATGTGTTTGCCAAAATGCATAAGGTTGCTTCAGCAATTATTTATGGAATGCCTGAACAGTATAAATGGATGAAAATTAGCATAATACTAGAAGTCCCAAATATAGAAGCACTGTGGCTACAGAAGCCTGGAGAAAAAAGACACTCTGGTTTTAGCATTCTCTATTCTTTCTGAAGAACTACGATTGGCAAACATTTAGGGAACAGTAAGGCATATGTGGCGGAGCGTGTAGGTGAATCTGGAGGGCAGGGTCGAGGCCAGAGCAGCTCAGGCTGACCTCACCACACAGTGCTGAAGGAGGCCGTCTCCCTGGTCCCCCTCCCTGGACTGAGAGATTCTGAGGTTGCTGGAGGAGGCTGTCTTCCCTGCTCCCTCCCTGGACGGAGAGCTCCTGATTCCTGCTCCACTGCGAGGCCTGCAGAGGGCAGCCCATCGACAATGGCTGGGTCAATAGTGATTGGACTTGGCAATGTAGGGAAGGGCAGTGGGGAAGTCAGACTGGGTTTGGAGGATTTGAAGAGGGTTGTACCCCACTTGAACAGGCATCTTACCCTTCCCCATGATAATCATGGTGAAAACAGAGGGAGCAGGAATGTGAAGGCCGGAAGCATTCCTCTCAGTGATGAGGATTCCGACTAAGTGTGAGAACTGGCTTCAGGGTGTTGGACTTGCTCAGAGGTCCATCGAGTCTCAGAATTCATGGGGGTTTCTTTGGAGGGAAAAGAGCAAGGCCTAGCTAGGGATCACTTCACGTCTCTCTGACCCTTATCAAAGGGAAGCAGCACATTTTCTCACCACTTTCTGTCAAGGAGTGCAGAGCTCAGTGTTTTCCTGATTCTGTGGTAGCAAGGTAACGCGAGGGGCCTCAAACTCTGGCCTAAGCGCCAACTAATTCCACAATGTGTGTATGTGGTCTACCTCACAGCCAGAGCAATACAGCATCGCTGAGGCAAAATTCCCGTTTGATAGATGTTGAGACAGGCACTAGAAGGCATCTATCAAGGAACCTGCTCCCTTTGTCTGTCACTGAGATGACGAATGGCATAGACGAAGCCATTTTGCTTGATGGCTCTTGATGAAACCACGGCAGTAAGCCATCGTGACTGCTACTGGATCCTCTTATAAAGAGAAAGCATACTTCAGCAAGTCAAGAACCCAGTGAGATGCCCAAGTATATGAATAAACAGGCATAGAAGCCTGCTCCCCTCTGGATGGAAATGTGGGCCAGAAATGAGAATGCCATCAGGTACAGTGGTCAGTGCTGAGTCTCCTGCCCTTGCCCCAGACTCCCACCTTGTGGTCCTATTCCCTTTAGTTGTAAGGAAAGGAAAAGAGCCCTGGCTGAAGTAAAATGGACTTGGGCGGGAAAGGGCAGTGACATCTCACGTGACGGATGACCAGACACAGCCCAGTGAGCCTGAGGGAAACAGAACTGGGGAATAAAGGGCCAAATCTGTGCTCAGACCCATGGCGGACACCCTCTCTCAAGTCTGCCTCTGCCTCTGCCTCAGCTCATGTCACTAACCCAGGCGCTGCCTTCTCTCCCTCCACATCTTACCTTGCAGCTCACATGGCTGCCACTGCTCTAGTAGGGTTGTGTTTCCTTCATGAAGTCTCAATGAGAGCGTGTCTGGTTGTGTCAACCTTACTTGTGGTGAGGTCATCTGAGGTCAGATGTCCACACACAAAGGCCACTGCGTCCTTACAGGGCTATGCCAGGCCATGAGCAAACGGTGTCTACACGCTGTTGCCTCTTTCTCCTCTCGTTACTCTTTCGATTCGGTTCCCAACTATTCTTTTCTACTTAAACTTCTCACCTCTAGCCCCTGAGATCTGCATCCCTTCATCCTGGGGATTTCTCCTCGATGGAAAAGTAGTTTTTCCAAACCTTATTTTGGTGTAACCATTGCGCTTGCCATTCTTCTGCAGACTGTGCAGCTCCACAGTAAATGTCCAGGGGAAGAGTATGCTACAGCAGTAGAGCCATGGTTAAGCTCAGCGCTTATGTTCTGGCTTCCTCGTATGCTTTCAAGGAACCTAGATGACTTGAGTGAATGACTTCAGTTCTCCCTTTCACAGCTTGGAATTAAGGGTCGAGTGACATAAAATAAGAAAAAAAGAGTTAATAATCAATATGACCTACTTTCTCAATGACACCAGAATCACCGTTATATTTTTCTTTCCAGAACATGATCCTCGAATGTTGCTCTGAAATAATGGCTCTGTTTTCTACTGACAGAGAGCCAACACCACTCACCGAGGTATGTGTCTCTCCTCTGAGACTCTCTGGGGTCATTTATTCACTATTTTACTCTGTTAACGGAGACTCCATGTGTATCCAACCACAAGTACAGAGGACCTCACTGCCTTAATTCATGTGAAGAAGTATTTATAATGACATATTACTTTGGTTAAAAGTATTCTTTGCTAGAAAACTTCAGCTAGTGCAGAAATTTGTAAAGAGAACTTAAAAGAAATCAGTTCATAGCCACCATGCCATGAAAATCCCATTAGCATTTGGAGAATATCTAGAAATATGTATATACACAAATTTAGATGTTTTGTATCAATGAATCAGCTTTACATGCATTTTGAAACTTGCTGTCTCCATGACCAATGTGGTTAGAAAGAAAAGGGTCCCCATAGGCCCCGTGGGGAGTGGCACTATTGGGAGGTATGATCTTTTTGAAGTAAATGTGGTGTTGTTGGAGTAAGTAATCACTGGGGGTGGCCTTAGTGGTCTCAGATCTTCAAGCCATGCCCAGTGTGGCTGTCACTTCCTGCTGCCTGTGGATCCTCAGGTGTAGAACTCTCAGCTCCTTCTCCAGTGCCATGTCTGCCTGCACGCTGCCATGCTTCCTGCAATGATGATAATGGACTAAACCTCTGAAGTGTAGGCGAGCCCCAGTGACGTGTTTTCCTTTCTAAGAGTTGCTATTGGCCACCGTGTCTCCTCACAGCAATAGAAACCGTAACTAAGACAATCAATAATGTCATAGAGGATTTTGTTTTTGTACATGAGAAGTCTACCTCATCATATTTAATGTCTTAGAATAGTCTCGTACATTTGCTCGCCAAGCACCGTTTACACAGCTAAATACTTACTACTTATGATGGATCTTGGGGTATGTGTGTGGATACATATGTGCATATATAAATGAACATACCATAAAGTTTATAGTTTTAACCATTTGGTGTACCAAACAACTGTTCGGTTCAAGTGCCATCCATCTATTACCTTCATCCACCTCCCAAGCATTTCACTACTCCAAGCAGCAACTCTACTCCTGAATTATTAACCCCCTATTTCTCGTTGCCATCCTCCCCAACGCCCTCTCGTCTGCTTTGCCAGCGTCCCAGTTTACCTGTTGCAGGTGCACCATGTCACTGGGATTGTGCCACACTTGCCTCTTTGTGGGCAGCTTATTTAATTTCGCATACTGTTGTAAAGTTATTCACAGTGCAGCACATGTCAGTATTTCATTCCTTTTTTATTTCATTTGCATTGTGTCTATATAACATGCATGTTTATCTAGTCGTCTGATAATAGGCTTTTGGCTTTGTATGACTTGGGTGTGTATATTTGAGTCCTGGCTTCAGTGGGTGAGGGGAATATGTTTAGGAGTGGAATGACTTAATCACATGGTAATTCTATGCTAAACTCCTTAAGGAACTCCCAAGCTTGTTTACTTGCTTTTCCCCCCAGTAGCGAGGCAACTTTAGACACATGCACACACTCATCAGGGTTCTAATTTCTGTACATTCTCATCAACACACATGGTTTTTCTCGGTTTTTTTTTTTTCGGTTGCCATCCTGATGGGTGGGAAGTGGTATCTGCTTTTTTGATGTGTATTTCTTTAATGATGGCTGGTGTTGGATTTCACGCTTGACCTCTGCTGAGAGGCAGACTTACCGAGCTGTTCGGGGCTGGGACATGGGGATTTGTGAGCTTGTCCCAGTGAGTCAGTTCTTGGACAGGCAGAGTTATAGGTGCTAATAGAACTTTTTTTTTTGAGACAGTGTGTCATTCCAAGGCCTTGACGGGTGGCCTTGAACTCTCAGAGAACCACCTGTTTCTGCCTTTTTGGTATTGGGGGATTAAAGGTATACACCACCGTGTTGGGCCCTCTGAGCCATTTTTTTCCACTGGTATGAGGTTTTGTTTTGCAAGATTTTTATTCTTTACTGAGCACGCCTATTACAAGTTATCTTGGCTTGTATCACCTCTTCCTAATTAAAATAAATATTGCTGTGCAAAGGTTGTAACTTTGGAGAGCAAGGAGATAAAGAAGCCCATGCCAGCCTTCTTAGTGGATCACAGAGTAATGACAGCTAGGTATGATTTAATGTCACACCACAATAAAAAGCATTTTTTAATTGTCTGCACAGGTTTGAATTCTTAGTTTCCAAACTGTCAGATAGGATTCAAATATGATGCTAAAATTATCCCCTCTGTCTTGCTGTAACTAAGCAATCATGGGAGGATGGAGCCCCTTTTAGACAGCTTCCTGTGCATCATCAATTATTGACTGTCGGCTGTTTGCAGGACATTGGTGTAGATACCTTCTATAGCTGCAAGGCAATACAGATGAAAGCACCTCTGGCCAGCTAAATTAACATTTTCCGATTTGTTCGTGTGGCACAAGGAAATTGGTCTAAATTACATACACAAGTGCGTGAGAGTGTGTGAATTTAACAGATCAGTATGTGAGGATAAAGCTCATTTGTGCTGGCCACAATCGTACAGGATTGGTATGTGCAATAGATTCATAGGTACAGCTTCTGGTTGGAAGAGATGGGACCTATTACATGCGCAAGTTGAAAAATAGACTTTATTTTGTACTGTAGATATAAATAACTTTTCTTTCTGTTCAAAATTTTCAGCTAGACCTAGCATAAGTAACTGACAATCACAATAATATTCATCGACTATCAATAAACCACTAGTAATCATAATAATATTGGTTCATATTTGTTGAGAACATAGTGTGTGCAAACATTGCTAAATATTTTCAATACATACATTAGTGTGGTGGTATTAATAAGGATGGCCCCTATTGGTTCATATATTTGAATTCTTGGTCTACTTGACAAGGATTAGAAGGCACAGCCTTGTTGGAGTATGTATAGCCTTGCTGGAGAAAGTGTGTCACTGTGGAGGCAAGCTTTGGGATTTCAAATGCTCATTCCAGGCCCAGTGTCTCTCCCTCTCTTCCTACTGCCTATGGGTCTGGCTGTAGAACTCTCAGAATCTTTCTTTTGTACCATGTCTTCCTGCTTCCTATGCCAAGTTTCCTGCCACACTGATAAAAGCTGTAGGCCAGCCCCAGTTAAATGTCTAAAGAGTTGCCATGGTCAGGTATTTCTTCATAGCAATAGAACATTGACTGAGACAACTAGCTCACTTAATATTAGAAGAATATTTTTGTTTCTCAAGACAGAGTTTCTCTTGTGTAGCCCTGGCTGTCCTCGAACTCACTCTGTAGGTCAGGCTGGCCTTGAACTCAGAGATTCACCTGCCTCTGCCTCCTAAGTGCTGGGATTAAAGGCATGTACTACCACCACCTGCCAAATTAGAAGACTCTTATAGAGTTGATTGGCATTTTATTTATTTTTAAAGAGTTGTTTGATTTATTTATTTGTCTGTGTGTGCGTGTGCACATGCATGTGAACATGGAAGTGGTTACCCCTTGGATGCTAGAAAAGGTGTAGTTATAGGCAGTTGTGAGCCACTGGACAAGGCAGTTATAGGCAGTTGTGAGCCACTGGACAAGGCAGTTATAGGCAGTTGTGAGCCACTGGACAAGGCAGTTATAGGCAGTTGTGAGCCACTGGATGAGGCTGTTGAAAGCAAACTTCAGTCTTCTGCAAGAGCAGGGAGCCCTCTCGCTCTCTCTCTCCAGGCCCTCCTGTTTTACTGGGGAAGAAATTCAGGCACAGGAAAACTAAGCAGTGGGCATTTGCTTTACTCCAAGGCCAGCAATGTCTCTGTACCCATGAAATATTGTTTTCGGACAGTGGAAAAAAAGGTGTCGTGGGCAGTTGAGGAATAAGGCAAGAACTTAAAAGATACTGGTGGGCTCCCTAGGCCTGGATGTGGGGGGAGGGCCTTGGACTTCCCACAGGGCAGGATTTCCTGCCCTCTCTCAAGCAGGGAGGGAGAGGAAGGAGGTGGTGTGGGGGAGTGGGAGGGGATTGGGAGGAGGGAAGGAAATGTAAATATTTGAATGGGTAAATAAAAATGAATAAATAAATAATAAAAAGATGCTGATGCAGACTAAGAAGTTTTGAGAAGGAAGGCGGAGTGCTAGAGGGAGATACAGAGACCAAGCAAGGTGTTGAGAGAGGAATGAGCATAAAGGAAAAGGGGATAGAAATAGTAGAGATTGTCTCTAAGGACAGAGGATGGGTTGGGACAGAGAAGCTGGGAGCAGAAAGCTCAAGGACTCTTCAGTGATCAAGATGGGGAAGAGGTTACCAGGAAGGCTGATTGGAGGGAGTGAGTGAAGTTGGGGCAGTTCACCCAGTGATTTTAATTTTCCTAGTAAAATGGTTCAACTACTTGCTATTGAAATGAGTCAGGTGGGCTGGGGGTACCATCTTTTAAAAGAGAGGAAAAGATCTGATACTTGTTGTGGGATAATTCTCTTGTACACTGTAAAGATTTGTCACTCTTATTAGTTTAATAAACTGCTGATTGGCTTATAGCCAGGCAGGAAGTATAGGCAGGGCAACCAGACTAAGAGAATTCTGGGAAGAGGAAGTGCCAGATGCAGTCACCAGCCAGACACAGAGGAAGCAAGATGAGAATGCCTCAGTGATAAAAGGTACCAAGCCATGTGTCTAAACATAGACAAGAATTATGGATCAATTTAAGTTGTAAGAGCTAGTTAATAATTAGGCTGAGCTAATAGGTCAAACAGTTTAAACCTAATATAAGCCTCTGTGTGTTTCTTTGGAACTGAATGGCTGTGAGACCAGGTGGGAGAGAAACTTCCATCTACAGGTCTTCACTACCATTGAGTGAAATGGCTAAAGAAGTTGGCTCAGCACAAATGAAAGGACTGAGGACCACACCCAGTTTTAAGATTCCTAGTGTCATATGGTTATGGTTATCTTGGCTTGATGTAAGAAATGACACTACTAGAAGTGTGTTTTTATTGGGTAAATGTGAGAGGGGAGCTGGTCCCCGATGGGGGAAAGCAGTGGGATAGAGACAGCAGCTCTGATACCATCCCATGGCCAAGAAAAGTGCCTCTC